TGGAGAATTCTCGAGACAAGTCCAGTTCTTCTCTAACAGGGAGAAGTCACAGAGTGGTCTAACGGAAAGCTCACTCGCTAGGAGCCTTGGAGTCAGGAAACCCGAGATGCAGGCCCACAGTCCGCCCCACCCTTCTGCTGCTCAGTATCTTCCCCTGGAATGTTCCAAACACAATCGTGTCTCTCTCCCTCAAACCTGCTGCTGCTCCTCCTACGTTCCTGGCGCAGTGAGCGACAGGCCTTGCTGTCTTCCCAGGGTTCTCTCGTTCCTTCTTCACCTCCACTCCACCTGCTTTACTCTAGCTTTGCGGACGACCCTGGACCCTATTTGGGCGGCACCTCCGGCCTGCCTTTGCATCCCCTCTGCTGCTTCACCCGAACTACTGCAATATTCGTTCAGCAAACACTCGCTGCGAGCCCCCCAAGTGCCAGGCCCTGCACACACAAGTGGGAAAACAGCAAAAACAAGAAAACAGACGGCAGGGTTATGAGTTATGCAGAATAACAGAGGGCACTGACACACTGGCCTTGTGCCCTCTACCCACCCGTCACAGGGCTCCCCCGTGTGCTTTCCTGAGTCTCGCATGCCATAGGGCTTTCGCTAATTAGAAGACCTTCCCTCTCCCCACCTCCACCTGGCAATTCAAAGGCCACATCCTCATGAAACCTACTCAGCAATTCTCTTCCTCTTCTCCATTCTTTCCTTAGGGCAGGGGTCCCCATACTCCAGGTTGCTGACTGGTACTGGTCGGGCCTGTTAGGAACTCGGCCGCCCAGCAGAGGAGATTGAATGTGATGAGCTGGAATCATTCCGAAACCATCCTCCACCCTCAGGTCCACGGACAAATTGTCTTTCCAGAAACTGGTTCCTGGTGCCAAAAAGATTGGGGAACGGATGCTACGGTAAGGCAGTCCCACTACATAGTTATCTGCATATATGCATAACACCCCCAAGAAGACTGTGCCTGGAGGGACAGCCTTTCACACAATGTCTTAAACCAGTAGATGAAAAAAAAAATTTCCCCTGGTGTGGCTAATGCCTCTACTGGACCTAGCTATTCCATAAGGTTATTATGAAGCTCAAATAAAATTCAGGATGTGAAAGTGCCTCCCTGACCAGCTTGGCTCACTGGGTTGGGCACCAGCCTGCAAACAAAAGATACAGGTCACTGGTTTGATTCCCGGTCAGGGCGCCAGCCTGGGTTGCGAGCCAGGTCCCCAGTTGGGCAATTGCGAGGCAACGGATCAACGTTTCTCTCCCTTTCTTTCTCCCTCCTTTCCCCTCTCTGTGAACATACATAAACTCTTTTTAAAAGAAAGATGTGAAAGTGCTTTGAAAAAGGAAAAAAAGCCTGTACAAATAGAAACTGCTTTGTAACCATAATTGTAGCAAACACCACTCCGGGAACTGCCCACACAGGAGCTGGCCTTCCCCACCCCTGGAACAGAGAAGCACAAAGGCTGCTCATCTGTTTAAACAGCAAAGCTTTTTAGACGGCGGCCTTGATTTTTTTGTCGTCTCCCTTTCTCCCTTCCCTACTTGTGATCACAAGCTAAAACAAGTGCGCAGGAGCCTGGACTTCCCCGCAGAGTGGAGTGGCTAAGAGCCAGAATGCCTGGGTGTGGATTCGAACTCTGCTACTTCCTTACTTCCTCCAGCAAATCGCTGAATCCTCCTGCTTTATTTTCCTCATAGGGTTGTCCATAAGGATTTAATGATTAAATACAATGCACACGGAACAGCACTGAAAACAGTGCCTGGTACAAACTGAGCAAACAGTGGTCAAGTTCGCAGTCCACTCTGCTTCCTGGTACAGGGCAGAAAGGTTCCTGGGAGCTAATCTTGGTTGCTGGTGGTGTGCACAGACACTGTGGAAGGGGCTTGGGGATGGGAAGTGGCTGGTGAAATGGGCGGGACGGAGCAGAGGTGTCTGAAGAGCCTCCAGGATGGCCAGACAACGGGAGGCTTGGTACAGAAAGTTTGACGGTTCTAAGAGGTTTCGTTCAGACACTGTTCAAGTGAAAGTGACTCTCAAGGGGCTGGGAGCTGCACTAAAAAAATGAAACAGAGAAAGGCCTCCTCTCAGTATTTTGGGCTTCCATCATTTTAACCAGTGAAGAGGCTGAGAACGCGGTTCCTAGTGACATGGTGCACGGGGCTTGGCACTATTGCCCACAGCCGTGAGCCCTAGGGCCTCTGTGTTTCCCACACAACCCGGCAAGGAGCCAACAGACAACAGTGATCTGGCTGGTCATCACTCCCCCCTCCCGCCCCCCCCTCCCCCCGCTTCAGGGGGAGACAGGACCATCCCTCTCTCCCGGGGCGCCTCACTCCATGAAAACCCTCTCCCCATAGGAAACAAACTGGGACACAATGAAGCAGTACTGCCAGTCAAAAGCAGCCTGAAGGTAAAAGCTGCTCATGCAGTTCCCCAAAGGGACAGATGGAGACACAGGGAAATGCCATATTTGGCATTAGCTGGGGGAGAGCAAAGTGGCCTGTAGAGGCCTCTTCGAACAAGGCTTTTCCTTCAAGAGCCGGCTAGGATGGCCAGCTGTGGTAGGTGGCTCAGGGGTCTCTCTTAGTCAGATGCCCAGAATAGGCTGGAGTCTCCCCGTCAAGAACTGTGGTCTCCAATGCAGATAAAGACTGCATTGTAGACACAGCGCTGGAGTGTGTCCAGACCCTCCCTCCACGTCCTTTGAGTCATTTGGGAATGGTTAACACACGGGTGGAACACCTGGGCTGATTACCCCGGAGGGGATTTCCAAACGCTCGTATTGTAAAATCATCTCTTCCCTTCCCAGAGCAGTCCCTTCCCACTGCTCTGCGGTGCGCCCTCACGGTCCCACATTCCTGGACTTCGGTTCCAGGCTTTCTACCGCAGCGCGGTAACTGCTGCTGACACAAAGAAACAAGGAGCCAAGCAACTTTGTGCTTTTTAAAGTTTGTTTTGAATTAAGAGGAACAGATGTCCAATGTTTCAAAAGGCCGCACATTTGTGGATTTGGCTGACGACAAACCCTCTGAACTGCATCTCATTTCTGTTCCCATAGAGTCAGCCAGCCACTTACAACTGACTCACTCTCTCTGGGCCATGATCTGGGCCCGTATCCCAACTACAGAATTAGAATCTCAGATCTCCAATGAATCCAGGGTGTTTGGGTGGCGAGTGAGGGCCATCTGAATCAAACTCTTTTCATTTAACTTAGTAGTATCAACACCCACACAGTGACTGCAAGGCCAGTAGGTCAAAGAATGAGCAAACAGCTGGCACCTGCCTATCCTAGCACCAGGCGATTCTAAAGGCCATGAGTAAGCAGCTGCTCAGCACAAGTTTTTGTTACAATCTCTCTTATGACTACTGGTCAGATATGCAAATACATGTAGGTTATTTGCTGCAATTCAAGGCCTCACCCTAAGGCAAAAAGCATTACCTTAGGTGAACTCTCGGCCTTGCTGGGAAGGGAGGGACAGGAACCCAAGCCCTTGACTACCAGACACGAATGACTCAACTGTTTCTAGACTCTTCAAGTACATTATGTGCTTTCTTGTCTTTGACAATAAAGGGACAAAACACTTCGGATGCCACTTTGGTGTAGCATTTCGTGTACCACGTTTTGTGAAAGACTGAGAAGCTCTGACCAACGCGAGTCAGAGATGGGATGTTCCTCGGCTTTCAGAAATGGCAATTGAACCCTTGAATAGTTGGTTTTAACTTTTTGTGAGCATAATTATTAATGAATAAAAGAAACCTTTTTTTTCCCTAACAGAAATGAGATTTTGAGGCCTACTGAGGAAGATCTTGCATGCCACTACATTAAATAAAAACTTTAAAATTGATTCACACCCATCAAATCTTAGTAGATGATCTAGATGGAGATTCTAACAGGGAACTAAAAACTGGTAGTCCCTCTTCCACCTTCCAAACTTTTTAGTATGAACTGTCTTTACACTAAAATAAGCTGCCAACATTTTAAGGTGGGAAGGTTAGAAAAGTTATTTTCAATTATTTCACAGTAAATTTGTATACTGTTGCTTTGTAACCTTAACTAGGCTAGTTAGGGGCTTATTTGTATTTGCTCCAAAACAAGGACATATATACCAAGAACATTTAAGAACATTTTTGGAATAAATGTTCCAATTTTGTATAATTTTTTGCATGTGGATCAAATACCATCCTTAATAAACTAAAAGTTGGGAACATGTAAACATTTATGGCAGTATTTTATATTTTATCTGATCTAATCCTTCAGACAACCTGGCTATCTATATATGTGTATGTTTTTATAGCCGAGATCTAGGCTCAGTAATTTTCTCAAGGTCACTTATGTGAGAGGCGGGACTCTGAACCATCGCCACAGACCACCACCGCACGTGGGGGCAAGTGGGTTTCAAAATCTATGGAAAGGCAACGTGATGCTAAAACGCTGGGCACCTCTGTGAGCTCTTTACCTTTACACACGGGTCAGTCAGAACACAATTCATCCCAGGGTACAAGAGGGCAATCGGGATGTGGCTTAGTGCATTATTTGAACTCAGTCAGTGCTGAGGGACTGGTGAAAGCAGACAGGTCTCATGCTGCCCAGCTAAAGCTACACAGACAGCGCAGAGCACACTGGGAACATGGGCTGAGCCTGTTTGTCCAGGAGCACTTGCTCCCACAGACACAGGACCAACCAGTGCATTACAGAGACTTCACTCCAGCACTGTTTTCCAGATTCTTAGAGAATGGGAATAGTGGCCATTATAAATGAAAGTAAAAATCTCTTCTTCCTCCAAGTCCCATGCTCCAGATGATACACAGACAGGGGACACGGAAACCAACACAATGATTCCAAACCGCGCAGTTTTAAGGGAGCTGCTCTGCGGCACCTAAGTGTGTGAACTGCTGATTTTTTGCACTGTATTGTCTTGTACTCCTAGACAGTCACTGAGTTGAGAAGTGATAAAACACTGCAGATATTTAAGGACAAAATGAGGCTTAAACAAAAGAGAGATGGAATCAAAATTCCCAGGCCCTTTTTTTTATTTGCAGTAATATCAAACCATCCATTTACAAAGTTTCTGGTCTCCCATCAGCTGGAATGAACTAGGGATGTCTCTGGGATGGACTGCGTAGTTGTCTGCGCCCACTCTGGTGGACACAAGAAAGGAACACGCCTGGCACTGGAACACGGGGTAGTGGCCTCCTACTCCAGCTGGAGTCCAGCAGGACGAAAGGAGGAGAGATGCTCTTCGTTTGTTTTCAAAGCCAATTCATTTGAAAGAGTGAACAAACTGTCATCATTAAGCCTAATGTATTAATCACTTAGACCTTCAGACTAAGACACATTTTTTTCTTTTTTCTAATACCCTACCCTGAAATAAATTTACCAAAAAAATCCCCAAGATTTAGTACAAATAGAACAATTCATACTTGCTTTCCTCTTTCCTTTCTTTAGACAAACACCAAATAAAATGCAGGTGAAAGAGATGAAATACAACTAGGTTAGAAGCTGGCTTAGAACGTTACATGACCCCTACAGAATCTAAAACAATTATGCTTTTAATGTGAATCTATTTAAATAAAGCATTTGGGTACTGCTTTTTAAATAAGGTAACAAACAGTCATACTGCTAGAAAGTCCCTGGGTGGAAAAAATAGATTAAGAACAACCTTTTCAAAACCCACAAGGCTGGTTGCTTATACTTTATTTGTCTGTGGTCATGGCAAGCATCCCAATTTTCCGTAAGATCCTCCTGCCTATGCTGCAATATCACGACATAAAAGATTCGAAGCGCCACTGGACAGAGGACAGGGTTTCTGCAGAAACCATAAACCATACACCATGATGCTGGGTCATGTGAGGATGGGAACATTCGGAATGGATGGTCAGATGAGAGATACCAGAATGTCGGACAGCCCATCGACTGCTGTTGCCATGAGAGTCAACAGTCAACATCAGTCTGATAAGCTACCCGACAAGGTGGTACGGCCATGGAGATGTCAAGACGGTGGGCACAACAAGCAGACACTCAGGCGGGTTTGACAAAACCGACCGGGCACTTCCGGCCTGTTAGATGTACACCCACTCTACCTTCAATGCAATGTCAGTACCAAACTTCCCTGAAGGGAAAAAAGCGAAATTGTTTATTTCCCTCCCAAGCAAAAAACAAAATGACCAAGTTAACTAGAAACATCACAAAGGAAAAAAGCACAGAACAAAACTGAAAAGGGCAAGAAAAGTAGGTTACATATAAATTTCTCTTAAAACCAGAGGACACGCTGAGCTAAAATTAACACGTGAGAAAAGTGTGGGTTTTTAAAAACACGAGTTCTCTCTCCAGTGTTTACTTGTATGCTACCATATCTCCTGTTCCCACAAACCAAGAAACCCCTCACCACGCCAATTCATAGGGTGCCATTCACTTCAGCAGCGTGCAGCCGGCTGCCCGACTCCAGCCTAACCAAAATGCCTCCTGGTGTCCCTTTCCGTCCAAGTAAGTGAAAGCTTAAGAAATTAGGATTGTAGGTGGGTTTGGCAAGGCTGCCATTCAGTTGGTAGAAGCTAAAAGAAGTGAAAAATCAAAACGCTCAAGAAAACGAACACAATTTTGGAATGATCAAAGAGGTCTTTATAAAGTTTTGTTTTATGACTTCATTCTAAATGTACAGAATAAAAAATAGTGTCAGCTCATTTGAGAGACACCAACCAGATTTTCCTTATACTGTCTCAAAATTTAAAGATCAATTTCCCAAGAGGGTGTGCAATGCATCATAAAATGGCCTTTTTTTTTGCAGGTAGGAGAGGAAGGGCCGGGCAGGATGGCATATTAAATTTTACCATGATAGACATGCAAGACTGTTATCCCATCTAATAATTATATACATTTTGATGACTTAGAAAAACAAAGCAGTCATTTGTGACAAGCCTAAAAGCTTGACATATTTAACATACTTAGGAACTTTTTTTGTGGTGTCCGGAATTCTTTAATTGTATGATGTGGGCCTTTTCAAAGTCACAAATAAAAGGCCAGTTTCTGTTGCGTTTGCTGCTGAACATCACACTCCACCCTAATAAAATACAATCTGAATTGAATTGAGGGTGGATACCTTACCTTAACACACAAAGGAAAAGTATGTCAGTGCAAGATATGGATTAAACTGCTTTCAGGAAAAAGAAAATTAAACTGATACAGGATGGAAAAGGGAATTTTCTTTCCTGGTCTGGAGTCCTCCCAATTAAGGCAGGACCCATCCATTCAAATTTCTGCTGTGAAAAAACTTCCTGCTTATTTAGTTTTCTCCTCTGAGTCCAACCGCTGCTGGATTCTTTTGGCATAGCTTTGTGCCATGGAGTTAACGATAGACAGGATGAAGTAACAAACCATCACCACGACCAACTTCTCAAACACCCAGGACAGCCAGTTTTCTCCCTGCAGGAACACACACAGAATGATCGAGAAACGCTGCATCATTTCAGTAGTGTTAAGGGGATCATCTACAATGTTTTAAGGAAAACAATGTGAACTCGGGAGCTATAACCTAGAAAAGTTTAAACAATTAAAGATGAAAAGTCCTGTTCTGTAGCTACCCTGAAATCTACCTTCAGACCCTTTTACATCTGGTTATTAAAATTCTCCTTTGTTGGCTATAAAGTCAATGTCGACTCATAGAGTTTAGAATGGGGGAACTGTGAGGTCATCTCGTCTTTTACTTCGTAAGAACAAAGCCTTTGATTAATTCTACTATGTGAAGTCACCACATAGACACTTGTACAGGATGGTGTCAAGATAGTTATATATTCTTGTTCCAGTATGGGGAGCAACTTTTGAAACATAAATGTTTATCTATTCCTGAAATCAAGTTTGGTCAACGGAGGGCAGCAAAAGGCCACCCCGGAGCACAGGGCCACAGAGAGCACACACAAACAACGCGGCTGCGCTGCCCCGAGTGTCCCATTTCAGCTCCCTGCTTACTCATCCCCTTCCAGCCAGCTCCCTTTGTCACAGGACTGTTTACAGAAAAGGCAGGCTCCATGTAAGCTAAAGTTTTTATGTTCAGCTGTATTAAGAGCCTTGGCTTATTAAAAATGATTGTTTTCTTATCTCTAAAAAGAAAAATAGTGCAAAAATGAAGGGAGATGTTCGAGTGACCACGTTAAGTCCAATACTGTGTTATGCTATAAATCTCAACATTTTAATCCATTCAGGAAGTAGACTTGCTAATAAAGCATTTAAGATCAAGGCAGTAACTCCCTCTGCAAAACTGGTCTATTATTTTCCATTAACCCTACCCTTGCTTTGGGGAGAAGATGTACAAAACACAAGTTACATTTTCTGATTCAAAGACAGATTTCCCGGTCGGGGAAACAGAGCCACAACTTCTGTTCGGGAAGACTGACTGGCACAGAAGAAACCTCTGTCTATTTGTCTAAAAATGCTGCGAGTGCCGAGAATATAAGTTCAGCCTAAAACTGGGGGGTGGCGGGGAGGGGAGAAAACAAAGGTAAGTCTCACCTGCGGTGTGCCCATCTCGCCTCTGTGGTGAAGCTTCTGCCGCTGGGCCTCCAGGTACTCCTGGAACGGCTTCTGCAGAGACGGACCTATGCCGGGGACAGCACTGGGAGCAGGGACAACAACCCAAGGAAAAAGGCACATTTGGGAAGAGAAGAAGGAAACATGTTAAAAGAAAAATCCACTTACCGCCTGGATTCAAAAAGCAGGGATTGGTAGAAAGAGAAAAAAACAAAACTATCAGTTAAGCTGGCAAAATCCTGTTAACTCTTTCTAGTGGATAAAAATCCATCCTTTAACGACCCCTTAAAGGAGAATCATCTCTCCCACCAACGTGTGTGGGAGAGAGTAGGAGCCCAGCTCCCTGCTCCCAGCACGGTCGGTCCGCAGTGGAGCGAGCTCCGCAGAGGCTGCACACTGGGGTGGTACAAAGAGTAAAATGAATGACTTCTGAGAAGTCCCACATTTATCACCAGCAGTTCCTGTAAGAACTGGTTTGAACCGATTAATAAGGAAATGACTTATGCTTGTGTCATCCCTAGTTGAAAAAGAAACTGCCCGCCCTCTCTCTGACTTGTCCCTTCTTCTCAGAGGGGGTGGAACTTTTTCAGTCTAAGTCCTTATTAGGACAATCTGTGCGTCATCCCTTTCCAAAAAGAATGCATTAGCGAATTTGGAAGGCACCTCCCACCAGTCAGAAGTCAGTGATTAACAAAGGGACAAAGAAGGAACTCTGAACCTGGAATCACTTCGGGGTTTCTGGCAGGCGGTGTGCACAGAAACGACAGCACGTTGCCACACAGCGTGTTCTCAGAAGTCGGGATAGGGATCTCTGATAAGCCCGGGTACCCGGAGCTCCCTCTCACCCAGAAGCAGGGGAGGCAGTGCTGCTAAACCGGTTTGGCAACTGGAGCTACCGGACTCCGGGTTTAGAAATGCTCGCAGGCGTTTTAAAATGGTAACTTGGAGCAACTTAGAAAATCAAACACCTCTATTTTCTGTGCCCTTTAGTACCCCTTTATTTTCCCATCTGTCGTAATAGGGCTAAAAAGTAAATAAGCCCAATCTCTTTTCTGGGGCCAGCAAAAGGCAGGTCAACATGTGCCTAATGCTCTCCCTTTTAAGTAACTAGATTAACCTCACCTCATTTCTAGAACAATTAGTTGCTGCTTTCTGTAATCAAAAGCAGAGGGGTTGAGGGAGAGGACTTTTTGCTATTATATTTACCAGAAGCTAACAAATATAAAACTCCTGGCAGACACTTTTCTTTAGTTATTTTAATTGCCGACCACCAAACACTTAATGAAGTTCTTATTTTGTGTCCAGCACTAACCGGCACTACGGCAGGTATACAGTCCAAGCCCACAAGAGACTTAAAATCATTGTGAGAATTCAACACACACGTGTGTAAGCACACACACACGAACTGATTTGGGAACAAAAGAGTTTACAAATCCACACTAAATTTGCTGGTACAGAGATATGCTGCAAAAGAACTGGAAGGAGAGAGAGCAGTGTGGGGTGAAGCTGACCTTGAATGAAAACTGAAGGATATGTGAAAAGCCCTGAATAGTCGTGTGCAGTAGAGGCTGTGGCTGCACCGATTGGACGGGGAGCCCCGAGTGACAGACAGGCAGATGGAGAAGGGCGACGTCTCCCGACCCACAGCCTCAGTCTCTGTTAAGCCGCCGAGCCCAGAGCAAACCCAGAGCGGTGTCTGAGCTGTGCTGCGGTCACCAGCCTGATTCGGACGAGAAATGGGTGAAGCGACAGCAGCACCACAAACTTTCTCTTCTCAAGGGATTTTCCTCGTGCAGTTCTGTATGTAATGCAAAAGGGAATGCAAATATCTCATCCCTTTACACTCGCAACAAATCACATTAATATAAAAAAAAACCAATTCTACCGAAATACACGAAACAGTGACACTGAAGACAGCAGATTTATAAGGACTTTCCTTCAGAAATTGACTCATTCACACTTAATACCTATGCCATTATTTTTTTTAAAGATGAAAAAAATCCCTATTTAGACAGGCTGCACTGATTGTATGCTAATTTAAACCGCTAGGCTGTTCGAGAAATGACTTGAAAAGCCCCTTTCTGAACGTCCGCCAGGACCTGGGTCCCATCACACGAGTCCCGTCCGGCTCCAGACCTCTGCCTCCCGAAGGGAGCAGAACAGAAGCCGGGCTGACAGTTCCCCTCGAGCCCTTCTTGGGCTCTGGGGTCAAGCGATTGTTTAAAGAGAAAATTAAGAACCAATATCCAAAGGCTAGGAGGGTTTTAACTTTTTGTTTTTGTTGTTGAGGGGAATGAGGGAGGGACCGGCAACAATCATTGTAGACTCCCTTCAAAGTAACTGGAAAAGATAAATGATTTGCCATCGGAAGTCCACTTCAGCTGACAGAGAATATATGCCATTATATATTTACATGATATGCAACTTTCAAAGAATTCTCCTGGGCTAATGCTGAGATCAATTTTTCAAGGTGTTATGGTGTTATATGCTTTGGGGGGGTTTAAGTGTTATATAAGTAGTTATCACATCATCTTAATCTGTTTTATATATTCATAAATTTCAGTTTTTCCTTTTCTTTTTGCTAGCTCTACAAACAATAGCTTAGGCCAGATGCCTCAGCTTAGACAAAGCAGACTTCCAGTTTTCTGAATTAACACTAAAACTACGTTAGTCATGGACTAGATGAAAATTGGAACTACGGCTGCCACTATCAACATGCGTTTAAGGGAAACTACAGCACCAGCCCTCAGCCTCGCCTTCCAGTTACTGTCAAACAGCAGACAAGCATCCATTCTGATACTTAAGATTAATTATATATATATATGTATATAAAATATATATAGGCTGGAGGAATAACCTGCATCACAGTTCAGTGGGGTTTTTTTTATAGTTGGCTTAGGAAATAGCTTAAATGCTATTATCTAAAGCCATTAAATTGAGTAGTACCCTGTGCACCTGGCTAGGAACTGGCATCTCAACCCAGAGTGAGCTGAGAGTTCCTAGTGGGTGAAGTCCTCCAGGTGCTACTAAGTGCTGATTAAATTCCAAAGTGTTACAGTTTTGTGATATAGAAGAATATATAAAATAGGAGGATCACAAACACACAGAACTATTTTTCAGTCAACTGTTAGACCTAAATATGTTTAAGCTAGCCTTCTAAATAGCCACTTTCTCTAGGGAAGAAAGCTGAAAATGAAAAAAAGAAAAGAAACACAGAAATTTATCTCATGTGCTTTTTCTTGCTTGTAGACCTTCAACTTGGTGGGTAGAAAAAGCTTTTATCTTTTTTGTGTGTGGACAGTAATATCTTGATATTTATTTTCTCGGCACACACATTTTTCAGGTGATATAACTCATTAAAAACCAAATTTCTAACAAACTATTCTAATGGCAACTTCTGAACATTTGTTACCCATTGTAATAAAGGGGAAAAAAAAACTCAAAAAATGCAAACGAGAGAGCAGGGTAAAAAGGGAAAAAAGCCACAAAAGTTCAAACCCACCCAGAGCTCAAGAGCGCTGTCGTGGGACCACGTTCTGCCGAGCTGACAGACCCGAGTGTGTGTGACAGCCGACACGAGGCAAACTCCCCGGCAAAATTCCCTCAGGGGCCCTGAGCAGTAGGCAAACAAAATCTATTCTTTTTTTCATAGTTTTTAACACATATGTGGCTCTGCTTCTGGAAATCAGTTATCTGGTAAGAAAACTGTCTTGAATTCTGCCCGTATCAGCCCGTTAAAGGTGTGCATTATTCTCTGTGCGCACAAAAGCCAGAAAACCTTCCAGAAGAGGCATCGTGATTGGCAGAGGCAGCATGGACTGTGGGGGGTGTGATCACACCGTGTTTTCACAGGGCTTACATTTTCATGTGTTGGTTAGTCCGGAGCGCACTCCCACTCCAAAAATGCACTGGTCATTATTGCTCCTGTTTTCAAAGGACTCCTCTCAAACTGTGCGACTCTGAAACTGGCTCACCAGACATGAGACATATACCATGTGATCCACCTTCCATCACAGAGATAGTCATCAAACTAGGCCTTGCTATTAGAAGGCCTGAAATTTTCCTGTTCATGATTCTGTTTGGATTTTTCCAGCCAGGTGTGTTGTTTTTTGTTACTATGTGCCAACATACAGCTGTGGCACAGTGCTTAATAACAGAAATAACATGAACTTTAAAAAAATGGATTTCTTATTGTTTAGCTGTATTTACACAGGGCCTATATGAAAGTTAAGCAGTTCAAATGCCTAAGGGAATTAAAATTTTTATTTAATATAGGCTTTCTTCCTCTCTTAACCACTGTTTTGAGGATCTTAGCATCAATGTGGTCATGTAAGTTATACTGGCTTTCCAGAAAACAGTGACATGGGTTCTTAGTAAGGTCATGGAGTAACGAACCTTTATCTTTCTTAGCGGAAAGTAGGGGCACGTGGTTTCTCACCTTTGTTTCACTATTTGTGAAATACTTTCAGGCTGATTTATTTAACATACCTCTGATGATTAATTATATCGTCACATAGGGTGTGATTAGTTAAATCTTTGAAAACTTACAAATATGAGGAAATGTTTTTAGAATAAGATTCAAGCCAGGAGTAGTATAAAAAGGGAAAAGAAGGATTTAATCAATTCTACAGCTGCTGTAATTCAGAAAGCATAATAGAGATCTTCTGAAGTAAACCTTCTGAAGTAAACTACCGGTGGCTTTTATTTACTTATTTTTTAGAGAGAGGGGAAAGGAGAAAGAGGGAGAGAAACACAATTGTACAAGAGATAGACTGATCAGTTGCCTCTTTGCACTTCCCCAGCAAGGGACCTGGCAGGCACCCCAGGCATGTACCTGACTGGGAATTGAACTAGCAACCTTTTGATTTGCTGGCCAGTGCTCAGCCCACTGAGCCACACAAGCCAGAGCACTACCAATGATTTTTAAAAATTCTTATTGATTTTAGAGAGAAAGAGGTAGAAGGAGAAACATTGACTTGTTCCACTCATGCATTCATTGGTTCATTCTTTTGTTTTTAAATTTATTTTTATTGGATTTTTCCCATTACTATTTATCTCCCCTATACCCTCCCCTCCACCTCTGCA